GCCTCCGCCCGGTGGTTGCTGGCTTCAGGACGCCTCGGGGGACGAAGCGGTGCAACCCAGAGCAGCCGAAATTCCCCCAGGAATGGGGCTCGTAGGCCCGATTACCCTTTTCTTGCGCCTTTCTGCTCGGAGGCTGTGGGGAAGGCGGCAGCCGAGGCTCGGCCGTGCCCTCGCCCCGGTGGGGCTGCAGGGAAATTCTGCTCCAGAGCCCAGGCGTTCGGCCCTCCCTGCCATCGCAGTCGCTGTTTCTTGTTGTTTCTTGTTACGGAGATTGGTCGGATGCTTCAGTTAAAAGAGCAATTTAGAAAATTTAGTTTAGGAAATGGTTTCTGCTTTGCTTTTTTAAAGCCATGTTGTGATTTGCTGTCTATAATGTGTTTGGTTTTTTGTTTTTTTTTTTTTTTTTTTTTTTTTTTTTTACAAGCTAAAATTTTACTGTTTTCTCATTGCTTTGTAGTTCAGGAATACAGAAAAAAAAATTTACTCATTTTCACAGATTGGTTGAATTACTACTGTCAAAGCTATGATGATGTTTATTAATCTGCCTTACATTTATTCTGGGCATGACTTGGTTTTGCCAAAAGGCAAAAGCTGTTTTACTCTGCTGACACCATTGGCTGGCTGAGGGCTCCTGGAGCATGGAGAGCTTCCCCAGGAGATTCCTGTTGCTGTCCAGTACGGCTCTTGCTTTAACCACCAGCCTGACAACACCCCTGCAGATTCACGTCACTGTGGGATGAGCCTCCGGTCTTGGAAGGCCTCTCACAAAGTTGCTTACCCCAGAAAAACATCTCATCCTGCACATTATGGTTTTGTTTTTCTTAATTTTCCTGCTTGACAGTAATTCATACAGACAGGAAAAAAAAGACAGTGAGGTTTGGGGTTTTTTTGTCGGGTGTTTTGTTTTTTGTCAGGAAAAAAATTAACTAGACTTAAGGTTGAGAAGGATTTCAGTATTGTTTTACTATGAAACCATCTTTTCAAGCCCACAGCCAGCCTTCTGGGAGGAAAAAAAACCCAAACCCCATCCCAATGTGATGCTGGTCTGCCACTCTAGACTCTTAGCTGCATGTAGAAATAGCTTCAAGCAGCATTAACAGGGTCGAGAGCAGCAATGTGACTGTTTCACTGCAGTCTTATGATAAGTGAAACTTGTTATCTGGATGCCTCTCATTCTTTGGCACTTCCAATCCCACTTGGGCTTTGAAGACAAACATGAAATCATGAGGCGTGGACGGTCTCTCCCACCCCGTGTCCACTTGATCCCTAGTCTGAATAGCCTTCTGTCTGCAATAGCAGAGATTTTTTTAGTAGTGGATATTACTGTTTGCAGTTCAGACTCTGTGTGCAGAAGTCTATCTAGTAAATCCTGCTTTGGAGTTTGCTACATTAAAAAAAAAACACAAACCAAGCCCCTGACCTTCCTATCTCACTTATGGATTACAGTAATCATGGAGGACTCGAGCCATAGCTGCAGTCGCTTGCTGGGTTATTGCAGGTGTTGGCACCTCGGTGAGGGAGAAATTTTGGCAGAGGAGAGGCAAAAGCTCCAGTACTGCAGACAAATCTTTTGCAACCCCATGAGAGAGAAGAAAGGAGCACAGCCTGGCTCCAGGGTCATTGGGGAATTGCTGTAAAAAAAAAAAAAAGCATTTGAGACCCAAATGGCCTCGCCTTTTGTTGGGTGCATTTGTAGCTGTAAGAAACAGGGAGACCTGTTGAATGGTGTAATCAGAGGGGAGAAAGGAACCCATCTGTAGCCCGTCGGGGCTCAAATCTCAGTTCTTGGAATAAAAATCCTGTTCTCAGAATAAAAGGCCTCTCTTGGAAAGTGCAAAGTTACTTTTTTCTCTTCTCTTTCACTGGCTTTCATGGCCAATGCCTTCAGTTCCATGCTACATCAAGCCTTGAAACCTCGATTCCTCACCGTGTATTTTGCTAGTTTCGTGTAGCTTTTAAATAGAATAAACTTGTAACGTCTGTTTATGCCTTCTAATTAGGGAAGAAGCATGACCAAGATGAACTGCATCCTGCTAACTGCCTGCATTGTTCTGGTGGCTTTTTGTAGCTGTGGTGAGTACAAGGGAGGTGGTTTCCTGATGTAATGTTATGGCAGGAAATCACAGGAAAAATGTCAGAGAAGGAAAAATAACAAAAAAGGCCTGCACTGTTTAATACCACTTTGGGCAGAAGAGAGAACCGGGGGCAGAATGTGATGCTGCTGAACATGGCGACAGGCTGTTGTGTTTTGCTGCCAAGAAGATCAGATTCCTGTTGTGTAGACTGGAAACTAGGTGGATAGCACAAGCAAGGAATGAGATGAAATAAAAAAGGGGTAAAATAAAATTCCGTTATAAGTGTTTCCTCTTGTCTTTCCTCTGGGAAAGGCAATCTTTACACTAGATGAAAGAAGCAAACATTTAAGATATGATTCTGCAGGGACATAAAGGTAAGTGTTGTTAAAGGTGATGTAAGTCCACACTTCGAAATCTTCCTTTCAGAATTGCCAGTCTCGATTTGTACACTGACACCAGCTTGTAAATTTTAGCTTGAGTCTAATAACCAGGTATATATTTGGGGGCAATTAGATGCAGATAGTGACTCTTCTTTTTTTTTTTTTTTTTTTTTTTCCTTTTAATGCTGCTGCTGTTTCAGTATTTTATTATTCAATAAAGATAAACCTCTGTCTTCCTAGGTTATACCCTAAGGTGTTACCACTGTGAGAACAGCCCTTCCTTGTGCAAGACCAATAGCACTTGCTTAGCAACTGAAGATACTTGCCTGCAGATGAAATTTGGTATGTATAGTGTCCTACAGACCAAAAATAAACACTGTTATATCAGTTTTCATTGCCTGTACGCTTCTCATCTGGCCTTAGCACGCATTTCTTAGCCTCGCTCAAAAGAAGGTTGTGAATCCTTTTGAAAGTCATGCTTAAATTGATATATTTCGACTTCCAAGTAACTGATAAAGATAATGATGATTTAGATAGCCGATTTATACTTGTGCAAGTGTATATGCAGATATCTGGATATCCAGATCTAAAACAAACAAACAAAAACCCTACCACCTAAGGGAGTTGGGAAAAAATAGGGGACAGCAATGTCTTTAAGGTACAAAACCTTTGCCCTGAATTCCTTACACTTTAAAAGCAGATAAAGTGCATGTAACACGCAAAATAAACCTGCAGATGAAGACTTCGGTCGTTTATGAAATGACGCTAAAATAAATTATCTTATCCTGAGGGTGAAGTCACCTGCATCTCGGGAAGATGGTCAAGGATATGCAGGGCACAGAGTTACTGTTGTAGTTGTTAAATAACAGTTAAGTAACTCTCTTGCTACGAGCGACAGGAGTTTCACTGGAAAAACAGAAGTACTGAATCACTTGAAATGATCCCCTGCTTTCCCAGCTGGTTCCCTCTGCCCTAGAAGGAGTGTTGGGCTGGCTTTGGACAGCGGGAACCGGGACGGGGAGGGGCTACTCTGTTCCTCGGGATGGTCCCTGCTAAAGCTCATGACTTGGCATGGAGGAAGGAAAGCTTCTGACACCGCCAGACCAGGATGCTGCTCTGTGCTGCTTGCATCCTAAGGGATTTTCTCTTTTGCTATTTCCCTTGAGCCTAAACCCTCACAAGCACAAACCGTAGGGTTTCTAGCATGCAGCCTATGGTGGCTGTCCATTGTCAGAGTCAGGAGTCGAGTACGTGAGGTGTCAAGCTAGGGAAGATGGGAGACAAATTGTTTATCTCTGGTGTCCAGGGGAATGGGCGAGAAAAGGGGAGGACTCTTCTGCTCTTCAAGTTCTGTCTTCTGCATGTTGCTTCTGGAAATGAAGCCAGTCGGATCCGATGGGACTTGTCTTAGGCACAGAACCGAGCTTGAGTTACTGGACTCCCTCTGAGCTTTGCGGAGGGAGAACGCCCGTGCTGCAGGCCAATGCAGGAGCAATGCAAGCTGAGCTAGATGGTGGTGCGCTGTCTTTCTCTGTCCGGAGCCTCAGAGCGGGAATTGCTCAAGCTCCACCCTGTATCTCCCAGTGTATCATTTGGACTGAATTGGAAGCACTGTTTAGCTTGAACTAGAAATCTTTCTTAACCCGTGGCTAAGAGCTACAAGAGAGTGCTGTGGAGGCTATCGCTATTTGCACTACTAAATTCCTAGTGAAGACAAATTTTGAAAATTCTAAGCACTTGAAGCTAAAATGCAAGCATGTGGCAGTCTAGGCAGTGATTCTCTCTCCGTACCAAAAATGGTATTACTTTCAATATTCTCTTAATCTGTTTATCTTTTTCTTTTAGGGAAATTGAGAACGTCCTCCTGCTGGAAGTCATCCCAGTGCAGTGTAAATGATATTGCTGAATTCTTCCAGTTGGATAATTTTGATTTCTTTTGCTGCCAACATGACTTGTGCAATGAGAGCACAATTACTGGGGTCAGCAAAGCAGCCTTCAGTATTGCCTCTGTAATGACCATGTTATGGATGCTTCTGTAATAATCCTGATTTGTATGCCGTACTTTCAGGCTGAAATTACACAAACCCATTAACTCTCTTTCTGAATTGTACTTCTTGCATTTTCAGTTCCTAACTGTGGGCTGGAACATTACCTTTTAATTTTAAATTCTGTCTCCTAAGGTTCTATCTGTTAAATCACTGTCTCTGTTCAGGGGAAGGAGATGTGGTATTTTGGCCTGCCATATTCATGGGGAAAATAACTTGTTATGAAGTAGTGTTATCTTGTGGAGATCCTGGGCAAACTTCAGTGGGTGGGTGATGTGAAAGGAAAGGAATACTACAGGTTTTATGATAAAAACCCTATGATTTCTTACCATCCCATAGATTGTAATTAATTTTGATTGGGATTTCTGGTTTGGTTTTTATTTTTTGGATGCTACCTTGTCATACACCAAGCAGTGGATTTGCCCTCAACACAAGAAGTCTTGGATCATAAGTATAAACTTGCTGCAGTGTCAGTAATGAGTATGGAAATACCTAGTTTTAAGGGATGTATGCTCTGTTCCCATCACTGTAACATTTTTTTTTTCCTTTATATAAACAAATAACAACCTTGTAAGTACTGTTATTTTGGGAGAAGGCATCTACATTTCTTAAACCAAAACAATGCTATAAGTGAGAAACACTTCTTCCCTCTTTTTTATATCTCTGTGAGCATGCAGATAACACGTGCTAGGTTGGTTTTTTTTTTTCCTTATGCTCTATCATTTCTAGGATTCTAACTAAGCATGTGCTTTGCACCGAGTATTTATTAGTATATGAAGATTGTTTCTAAAATGCTAAGGAATTGCAGTGGCACATCTAGTTTATTTTCCCACATAGTTAGCCTTTGTTTTTTCGGTGGGAACAGTGACATGTAAACTTAAGCCTTCAAGCTTCCACCTAAGCGTATTAAACAAAACCTTGCAGGACTTTATATTTTGACTTTTATGCAACTCTATAAATATCAATAGAAAATATACGTGTATTTATATAGCATGAATAAAACCCTCTCGGTTTGTCTCTGCAAGAGGTCTGAAGCTGAAATATTCTGTACGTTGCTCTGCCTCGGTGGTGGAGACAGACCTCGGTACTTTGCTGGTACTTAGGGACCCTCTCAGTCAGGTATGATGTCAAGTTCTCCTTTTTCTCTCTGGAGCTCTTGGCATGTCCCTGCAAGAGCCATGGTCCCTTGCCAATGGTAAATCCTCTTTCTGAGGACCCTCGCTTGCGCTATGCAGGGTGCCAGCGACACCAGTTCACCCAGTCATAACAAGGGCGTTACTCCAAATCCGTGATGTATTCTGCAATGTATCTTTTGATTAAGCTTATCTTAGCTATGAAAGCATCCTGGGATCTCTCTGATCACTCAAAATATGGAAGTCGTCCTGTCTTTGATTAATAAAAATGTCAAAAAAGGAAATGTGGAGAGTGTGATTATTTATCGGTGCACTACTTAGAGCTGGATATAACTCTAGTTTCTCTATGAGATCCACGCTTCCCATCCAGAGACTCTCAACAAGTTGCAAGTAGACTTCTCTTATTTCTTCTCTGCAGGTGGGTGCTACATGTAGTTGGTTAATTTTGGCAGCGTGGTTGTTTGCTGTAGGGAGCTGTTTGATCAGACAAGGGGCAATGGCTTTAAACTAAAAGAGGGGAGGTGCAGACTAGATGTGAGGAAGAAACGCTTTGTGATGAGGGTGGTGAAACACTGGCACAGGTTGCCCAGAGAGGTGGCAGATGCCCCATCCCTGGGAACATTCAAAGCCAGGTTGGACGGGGCTCTGAGCAACCTGCTCTGGTTGAAGATGTCCCTGCTCCTTGCAGTGGGGTTGGATTGGATGGCTTCTAAAGGTCCCTTCCAACCCAAACCATTCTGTGCTGGGAAATGAGGAGAGCTAGTGATCTTTCTCTAGGTGAACTGACAGCAATGCGGCACCAGGGGGAAGCAGTAGAGTATGTGGTATGTGGTCCCTCAACCTCTTCTGCTTGGGAATTGTCTTATCAGAGATACCAATATGCCATGATTTGGGGGGAAAAAAGAAGAGTTGTCCCTGCGTGACTGCTTTGACAACTGAAGTGTGGCATGTAACGTGCTTACTGTGGTTGCTCTCAGAGCAATCCTGTCAGCAGTTTATCACGTTTTTATTCTTCATACTGGCTAGATTTCTTTGTGTAAGTATGGGTTGTTTCTTTTCCTCCCTCTCCCCCCTCTGCCCCCCACCCCCTGCTTAGTTCTTAGCTTTAGCTGATTTCTAATGTCCAAGTCAGGAGGGAAAAAGGTTATATGTGATACTCCCCAAGTTGTAAATGATCTCAATAGAAGCTGTTGGCTTGAAGTGTGTGGCCAAGTTGAATAGAAAGTGTTTTACTTGATATTTGTGAAGCCAGACAACTGGAAAACAATATTTTCCTCTTCTCTTGCAGGCTAATTACAGTTTGAACCTTCTGATGTGCAGTCTCAGTCCAACTGGTACCAGAAACAGTGATTGATTTTGCGCTAGAAAGTAGAAAATGGTCCTTGATTTCCCACTCTTTTGTGCTTCCATCTCTTTAGCTCCCATCTGATTAACAAAAGCAGACACTTAGTGATTTCTGCACAGTGACTTTTTCCACTGATGCACCCCTATTTGTCAAGCTCTTGCTCATCTTGTATGAAAAAGTGGCATTAAGGCACTGATTCAATATACAGTTAGGGGAAGGTTTGTAGCAGAGAAGGTATCTTGTGTTAGACAAGCTGATAGACTCCTTATGCTTAAACCCTCTCAGCTGCAGTGTTTTTGCTCTACTATATATTCAACGTCTCCCTTTTGATGGTTGGCACTTTTAAACCTGTTTGATTGACGTATGGTCTGCGTATGTAAAATATTCTTTTCTTTTATAAGCCCAAAAAGACGCTTTGTATTTTGTCTGTCTGATAATAGTGTGAACGATCATTTTTAGTATTTGTTTTTTGATAGCCTTGAACACTTTCTTGTCTAATCTACCATATTTCTCCTTCCTTTCTCTTCTAGAAGCAGCTTGAGCAATGGGTCCTTGTGTTTTGCACTCTAGAAGGCCACTTCTTTTGTAAGGATCAACAGGAACGTTGTTTAATTCTTGTGGTGAGAATGCATGTAGCAAAGTAAGAGAATTTGCTATGATAGCAAACAACTTTCAAAAAAATTACTAGAGTTCAAGTGGAAAGCATCCCTTTCGTCCCTCTCCTGGGAAAGGGAGATTAGTTATGTAGGCTGATTCTCATCTCATGCCATTTAAGGGCTAAATGGTGGCATGAGGTTTCATGTTTTTGATAAATTTGCATTTTCTAAGCCTGCGTGGTCAGCTCGCTCCTGCACATCTCCCACTGCTGCTGGATTGTGTCCAGATTTGATGGCCAGCTCTCAAAGGTGGGTAACCAGAGCTATCAAAACCTTAGGTCAAATAAAAGTCCAGTTAGTGATAGTAAAATGATATAGTACAGGGTGCCAGTGATCAATTCTGCATACAAGTACCGCATCAGCGCAAATAATTGGTTTTGCTTTAGGTTTGCATACGCCTTAAAGACAGCTCCATCTTCACTCTGAACTGGAGAGCAAACAACCCTCACGAGGTCATTACAAAATTTTCCATAGCGGTAATTGGTCATTTGTGTGTATAGCCTTGGCGCAGTCTTGTGACTGTTCACTTTTACTATGTCCCTATACTTAAGTCAATGATTTTTTTTGCTCTATGTAACATTAGGGCTAATGTGTATAATAATTTCTTGCCTCTTATTTATATCTAATTATGACACAGTCATTGAGTGGACTGGAATTTAGCTCTTTTCTGCTTGTAACAGCTAATGACAAGGAACTGAAGGGCTGGTGGGCAGTCACAGACTCACAGAAGGCTGAGGCTGGAAGGGACCTTGGGAGGTATCTGGGCCAACCCCTCTGCTCAAGCAGGGCCACCTAAAGCCAGTTGCCCAGGAGCAGGCCCAGACAGCTTTTGAATATCTCCAGGGATGGAGACTCCACCACCTCTCTGGGCAACCTGTGCCAGTGCTCGGTCACCCTCACAGTGAAAAAGTGTTTCCTGATGTTCAGAGGGAACCTCCCATGTTTCAGTTTGTGCTTGTTGCCTCTGGTCCTGTCACTGGGCACCACTGAAAAGAGCCTGGCTCCCCTCCTCTTTGCACCCTCCCTTCAGGTATTCATATACATTGGTACAGTCCTTCCTGAACCTTCTCTAGGGTGACTAGTCCCAACTCTCTCAGCCTTTCCTCATAGGAGAGATGCTCCAGTCCCTTCATCATCTTGGTAGCCCCTTGCTGTACTCTCTTCAGTATGCCCATGTCTCTCTTGTACTGGGGAGCCCAGAACTGGACACAGTACCCCAGGTGTGGCCTCACCTGGGGTGCTGAGCAGAGGGGAAGGATCACCTTCCCGGACCTGCTGGCAATGCTTTGCCTGAATGCAGCCCAGGATACCATTTGCCTTCTTTGCAGCAAGGGCACGTTCCTGGCTCACACTCAGCTTGGTGTCCACCAGGGGCCTCAAGTCCTCTTCTGCAAAGCACCTTTCCAACTGGTCAGCTCCCAGCATGTACTGGTGGCTGGGGCTACTCCCAGTCTTTGGGGTGGGTGTCACAAAAAGGGGCTTGAACCCCAGGGACTCCTAAGTTTAGGCTGCCCTCACTGGGAAGTGCAGGTATTTTGTGCGATTGAGCTGTGTCCTGTATGATACAGGATAACGCAAAATATCTTCAGGGTGAGCTGCTGTATTACTGTGCAAATGTGCCCATTGCTCTCTGCAGTAAGTGCTGGGTGACTTGCCCCTATTGTCTGGGTTTGGGTTTTGGTTTTTTTTTTTTTTTGCTTTTGTTTTGTAATTATCTAAATGGTTTGCTCTGTTCTGAATTCGTGGCATGACTAAAACCTCATCCATAGCTGTTTACCTTTGAGCATGCTTTTTTTGCCAACATACCTCATTTATATACTAATGGCCATCTAACCATCAAACAGTATTCTTCCCTGCATCTATGTGTCAGTATTCATTGCTCTCCTAACCATTAGTCCCTTTTTTGGGGCACAAGTTCACGAAGAAGTTATTTTCCCCGATAGGCACATGAAGAAGGAGCTAACGAATGGAAGCCGCAGCAGCAGCAAGCAGTGTGTGCAGAAATTCGTTCTTGTGATCTGTCTTTGCCATTAATCCCTCCTTCAATCCCTTCTCCTCCTTTCCGCCTTCTGCATGGTGATGACCGGCTGTCCTTTGCCTTGAACTTGGGCATGGAGAGCATGGGAGCCCCGTAGCGCTGGTGGGAAGATGGGGCTGATATACCTGGTTGGTAGGGATTTTGCTTTATCCTGTTTCCTGTTTTTACCATCACTCATCAAAGATAAGGTGGGATGTCTCCGTGCTATTTCAGGGTGCAGGAAATTGTGAAAAGAAGCAGATGCATGGGAAAAAATGGATAGGCAGAGCAAGCAATTTCCTCCCACTGCTTTTTGGAGTGAGAGGAATGAGGAGGCTGACCAGCGAGGAGCTTTTATTTTGTAAAAAGGAGGAGGAATTGCTAAGATTATAAAGCGAACCCAACAGAGAAGTGCACGTTAAGTAACTCGCTATTGCACTAACTGGGACATCTGGGTACTGCTGTTGTATAAATATTAAATGCATTTAGTAACAGCAGCGTCCCTCCAGCTGGAAGAAAGTTTAATGTGTCTGAATGTCTACGTGTCTCTGAGGGGCTTGCACCTCGCTGGTAAAGACAGTCAGGCCTAGGGTTGGCATCGTAACAGGGAAGTTAGGCTGCAAGCTAGGCCTAAACATCCAAGCCAGCGTTATCTGTGAGATGTCCTATGAGGACAGGCTGAGAGAGTTGGGCTTGTTCAGTCTGGAGAAAAGGAGGCTACGGGGAGACCTGATTGCGGCCTTCCAGTACCTAAAGGGGGCCTATAGGAAAGATGGGGAACGTCTTTTTCATAGGGCCAGCTGTGTTAGGACAAGGGGAAATGGTTTTAAACTAGAACAGGGTAGGTTCAGGCTAGAGGTAAGGAAGAAATTTTTTACAATGAGAGTGGTAAAACACTGGAACAGGTTGCCCAGAGAGGTAGTGGAGGCCCCATCCCTGGAAACATTCAAGGCCAGGTTGGATGGGGCTCTGAGCAATCTGATCTAGTTAGCAGTGTCCCTGCTCACTGCAGGGGGGTTGGACTAGATGACCACTAGTGGTCCCTTCCAACCCTAAACATTCTATGATTCTATATGATTCTATGTCCACGTGTATTCAGGCAGGAACTAGTACATCGCCCTCAGTGCCATAGTTCATTTCATGCTCATACTCCTATTTCCAGAGATGCTAATGACTTCCAGGGAACTTCAGGCACTCATCATCGTCAGCTGTTGTATTACTCAATGGCCAAGCCACGGATGAGAACACACACAATGCAGTGTAATCGTTTAGCTTACATCTGAAACAAATGAAGACAGTCTGCAGCATTGCACCAGGAAAAGCTTAAAGTCATTAAAATGACTACTGCATCTTGAAATCTAATCACTTTTAAAGTCTGATGGGTTCCTTCCTTCCTGTTCCCAGTCATTTTAATGTTGTAGTGTCCTGTAAATTAAGGCTTATTCTATGTTCCACGTACTACAGGATGAACCGACGCTTGCCTGGGAAATGCTGGGGCTGTAGCTGGGACACACCAGAATCCAGACAGTGCCAGACACTGCTAGAAAGCTGCATTTGCATGCAGCAAAAATGACTTTATCTAAACTATTACGGAAGGCAAAAGACAAAAGCTGCTGCTGTCAGACACAGCGTACAGCTTGCTTTTGTACTTACGAGTATGTTCTACCCCCGGGAAAGCTGGAGGTGGTTTTCTTTTTTCCGCTTAGAAAAAGGACTTTCAATCCATTCCTCTCCCTGAAAGCAAGATCAATATAACTATTGTTATGAAAATTCCCTTCCCTAACTATATAGCGACCGGGATTTGTAGTATGGAAGTGGTTTAACTTTGTTAATATATATATTAGTTCACATTATACACAGTAATGTAATGAGGTAGTGGAATTTTACTGGAGACCTTGGTGTTGTTTGTGTGCACATATAACAAACCAAAGGACAGCCTGGCCCTGGGAAGAAGGACTTTGCTTCTTGGAAGCTTAGAGCTGACCGTGAAGGATAAAAAAATACCCCCAACCAACCAAGGTGATGCCAACATCATGCCGTACCTGAACATCTGAAGGCTGTAAGTACTCTGTGTCAAAGCGCCTTCGGGGTGCCCTGTGTGCCTGGCACACCTCACACACACCAACGAGCCTCTCGTGGGTTTCTCTACCTTGCGTTCCAGCCTCTCGCCATGGCCAGCACGGGCCAGCTCTGAATTTTCGTGAGGCTGTGTGCACCTACGCCCTTACTGACCCTGAAGACACCCGCTGAATGAAATTCCCTTGCTCAACAGGAAATTTGTCACGTTTTCCTCATGCTTCATTTCACCTTCCTTGCTGAAATTTAAGTCCGTTACGATTGCAGTCGCATACACGCAAACGATGCTCTGGTCCTTTTTGCAGGGTGCCCTTTCTCCCCCATACGAGTTCTTCATCGGGCTGGGAAAGCGTCACTGGCTCATTCAGCCTTTCCTCCATCACTCTGTTCTCTTCTGCTCAATAATTCCCTTCATGCCTTTATTTTTTTTTTTAATTGTCTTGGGGGATCTTTTTTTTTTTCCCTCGGGTAACCTTTTTTTCCTGGTTTTACTTGCTTTGTCGAGACAACATTTTGAACAGTTTACGGTCCGCTGTACTTGAAAACATCCGTAGGCGTTTGCTGGGAGGAGGACGACGTCTGCTCCTCCACCTCCGAGGGGCGGGTGCCGGTGCCTGCCCGGAGGGACCGGGGGAGACCAGGAGGAGCCGGGGGGGGGCGGAACCAGGGGAGGGGACCGGGGGAGC